CATTTATGTTATATTTACAAATTTCATATCTTCAAAGATTTAAGAGAAATTTGATGAATAATATTTTGGGATTTGATAACATTTCTCCAAAATGTAGTTTTTTTGTAGGGCAAATAAACTCGCATTCACAAGGAGCACGGCTTAAACTGTACTTTCTTATTTAAAATTTGTCCGTGATTGATATTCCGAGATATGTATATAGTAGATTTTTTCGACTATTTTAAACGTTTAAAACAACATTTAATAAGGGATTATAGCCATTTTGGATTAGTCCCGATTGAATCGGGATATTCTTTCATTTCGAAAATTCTAATCTTCCGACAGCTAATGGTCTATAGAACAAGTAATAACGACAATGTCATTATGAGCAATTCTAAATTTCAAAATAGAATGTTAGGTTAAAGGCAGATATCGGTCGGAGTAAATCGATATAATTCTTCTTTGAAACGGACCAAATACCAGCACAGAGATTTTCAATACGACATTAAAACTCCAAGGCTACTAATTTTTTCATAGAATTTAAATTTATAAACATTATAAAACCAATAACAACAATTTTTTCTCGTTGGTATTACGCAATACGAAGTGTGCGACATTTGTCTTTTGACCTACTTTCTAGAATCTATGTGAAAAACCTTGAAGTTATAAAATTCCTAGCAAGCACATCTTCCCTTCTTTTTAGAAAATCTTTTCATTTTATGGCATACACCCGCAATTCCCTGACCATTTCCTACAAAATAAAATGTTTATAGCGTCAATAAAACATAATCTGTAAAAAAGGACTACACCGAAAAATATATTTAATAACAGGATGAACGTAAAAATCCGGATTAGTAGTAGTAGTAGTAGTAAAAAACTTCTTTATTGAATAAATATTTTCAAATACAGTATGACATTAATAGATATTAAGAAGTTGATATTGGGATTGCGACAATGTTTTTAAAACGTCTGTCGCCTAGTTTAATAAATTCAAAGTTTTTCTTTTTTAGATAAAAGTGTTTAGTTAAATTCATTTATCAAAAGCTGCCTGTATTTATAGCTGACTTCAATGTAGTTTGTTAAGTCATTCCAGCCACTTTCTTCTTCGCCATTGAGTATCTTGATTATTTCCTCTTCATCAAGCGTTGGCTTTCTGAATGATCTCATTCTGAATTCTCGTAATACGGGACAAATTCCTAGAAAGTGCTGCATCGTTTCTACTTCCCGCATATTACAAAGCTTGCATTCTCTATTTCGGTCTCCTTGGTCAAATCTGTTGTATTCCAGAGGTATCATACCGCTACGCGCTTTAAAGATGCAAATGATTTTCTCTTCAGAGTACTTATCATTTAAATAGAGATGGCCAATATTTGTTTTTAGATGTCTATAAATTCGTTGACTCTGGCTATTTTCTTTTTTCCGTATATTTTCATTGTGGATTTGTAACTTTATGCATTTTATAATATCCTGACAGAAAGTAAACCAGTTGTTTTGAGAGGACATTACATGCGACCATTCCAAACTAAATGATTCAGCCAGTACCTTCAATTCCTTGGCCCAAAAAGTGTTCTTGCGATATATGAGTTGTGTAAGTTTTTGAGGAAGCCTGTTTTCAGAATATTGAAACAGAGTTTTTCCGAGATAGTTGAGGTGTAGCCCCAGTGTATATATTTGAGTATCTTCAACATCCGTTTCCAGCATCAAAATGTGGTTTGGAGTAAAACTAGGAACTCTCAATATTCGTTTAAGAAAGAATCTCAATAATGTGTTAGACTCTTCGAAGTAAGTGAATCCCCAGACCTGGGCAGCATATGTTTGTATGGATCTACAAACTGCTAAAAACAGCTTCCATTTTGCGTTCATATTTATGTCTGCTTTACCAATAAATTGTTTCCATGTCGAGTTTATAGCATTTTTTGCCTCTTTATTCCGATTTTGTACGTGTTTTAGGAACTTCATTTTTGGTGTGAACGTCACGCCTAAATACTTAAATTCATTTGAAATTTTGATTTCTCTGCCATTATACATCCATTTTTCATGTTTGCTTAGTTTCCCTCCGTTTCTAAAGACCATTATTTCCGATTTGGATAAGTTTACTTCTAGGCACCAAATTTTGCAGTATGTTTCCACTTTATCTATCATTTTTTGGAGTATTGCAATATCATCAGCAAGAAGCACAATATCATCTGCGTACAAAAGACTTCTGATATTGATATTGTCCACGAAAAGTCCACCACCAATATGCTCGTGCAGATCGTTTATATAAAGTGCAAATAATAACGGTGACAATAGACAACCTTGTTTTACACCTTTTGTAGTTGGAAAGAAATCTGAAAGCTCTCTTCCATTCCATACTGCCGATTGGGTGTTATTGTATATTCTTTCTATTAATGTGACCATTTTGTATGAAATTCCCATTCTAAACAGCTTATAAATAAGTGCTTGTCTTGATATGTTATCAAATGCTGCTTTGAAATCGATGAAAAATGAGTATACTTTTTTCTTTTCTGCTAATTTGAGTTCGACAATAGTGGCAAGATTGTATATGTTGTCAACTGTAGAGTAGTTTCTACGAAAGCCAGCTTGATATTCGTTCAAAATTTCATGTTTTTCAACCCAATTGTAGAGCCGTTCATTAATTATCCCCATAAAAATTTTTGCCGCACAGTTCATGAACGAGATTCCTCTATAATTAGATGGCTCATTAAAATCTCCTTTTTTATGTATCGGAAAAATTACCGTTTTTGTGAAAGAGGTATCAATATTTGTGCTCGAAAATATGTTATTATATACATTCAACAATTGAGTATGTAGTTGTTCTGTGCCATTTATATAAAATTCGTATGGAATCCTGTCTTCTCCGGGAGCTTTATTTCTTTTCACACATGCAAATATTTTTTCCAGTTCGGACATAATTATTGGTGTGTCCAAATCAACATCTTCCTTATATGTAGGCGCATAGTAAATGAGTGTGGATTCTTCGGAATTATTTAAGAGACTTGAATAATAGCATTTAAAGATTTCTGGGGTTATATTTATCCCTACGAAGTTGCTTTCATTTCGAAGTTCTCTTGCCATTTTCCACCATTCTCCTGCGTTTCGTATGCTGTTTAGATTATTGCCGATTGATTTATAATATGCAGATTTACTTATATTACATATGTTTTTGTATTGGATTTGTGCGGCTGAATACCTTCTTTTGTCATCCAGATCTCCAGTTCTTCTATATATTTTGAGCAAATTAAAACTGTTTAAACGAGATTTGTTGCATGTATTATTGTACCATTTTTGTTTTGCTTGAAATGTCGGCTTGTTTGAATATTGTGTGGGATATGACCTTGAAATCGCCTTACATATTGCCTCCAGGCATGACTGTGTTGTTTCTTGGATTACTTCCAAATTTATGTTCAATCTTCGTTGGTAGTTATTCTTATTATTCTCTTTCCAGATGAGTTTTGGCAGTAATGACATCTTTTCTTCTGTTTGCGAATAGGATCCAATATTTATCCTTACTAGAATCGGGAAATGATCAGACCATACCTTATCCTCCACTCTAAATTCTACAATTCTTTCTAGAACTTCCTTAGATACTGCACATAAGTCATTCACAGAATCGCCTAATGTTGATATGTATGTGAGATCTCCTTCCTTATCGCCTTTTGTTATTCCGTTTAATATAAGCATATTGTAATCATCACAAAGCTGTATGAATTTTGAACCTTTTTGATTAACTATTTTGTCTTTTGATTTCCTTAAATCATATCCTGAGTAGAACTTTTTCCGGTATATATCTCCGATACTCTGATTCACTTCTCCAATTCTCGCATTGAGATCTCCTATTACTATCTGATTTGAGATGTCCGCGGTTTGAAATATTTGGCTCAGTTTTCTAAAATCGTGATCCCAAGTAGATGGCCTGAGGTATTGGGGTATAAGTGTATATACTTGTTCCTTATATTGTAATTTTATAATGAGCTTGTCATCTGTATGGATAATTTCGTATGAGACACCCATATCAATCATTTCTTGTTTGATGCCTATTATTATTCCACCAATTGCTCTTCCAAACCTATGGACCCTTATAGCAGGCTCGAAAACTAATTGATATCCGATAAAATATGTCTTGGCTCTTTCCATTTTTCCCCTTTCTAAATGTGTTTCCAATAATAAAAATACTTCATATTGTGTTATATATTGAAAAAACGTTGGGTATAGATATTTATTTTCTAGACCATTTATGTTATATGATAGTATGGATATGCTTCTTGTTTCGTTTACGGGAGTTATGTGCATCAGTTTTTTGGATGAAAATCGTTAATCAGAGTACCATAATTTAAATTGATTGACTTTATAACGTCTCCATACAACTTAACGAGTTCCTGTTCTCCATCAGCGTTGCCAGATACAAGTTTGTTATCTGCATTCCATCTGAACCAACTGTCTTTTATTTTAATCCTGTCTTCTCTCACCACGACTTTATGTTGTTTGCTAACTGAAAGTAGGTTTTTCTTAAGTGTAAGAAAAGCTTTCTTATGTTGTTGTTTATTAGGTATCATATCCCTCTCTATAGAAATATTTGACCCAGCTAATTTTCTGGTATTCTGAAAAACGTCTTGTATTGCCTTTTCATTATCAAGCTCTACAATTACTGCCATTTTGCCGTTACGGTCAAAAACTTTTTGCGCGTTCTTTATGTTGGCTAATGTGGCTAACTTTTCCTTAAACAACTTCACCACCTCTTCTCTTGGATTTTTGTTGCTTGGCAATCCTTTGATGAACAATTTATTTGGTTTAATCTGGTTCTGAAGCCAATTAATATCTCTTTTAAGTTGTGTGTTTTCATTCTTTACATTGCTTAGTTCTTCTTTTAATGCCTGATTTTCTGATTTAAGGCCATTTATGTCAGTACTAAAATTAACCATTTCAAGTCTTAAATCCTCTAAATCAGACTTTGTGGGTAGAGTTTTCAGCTTTTCATCTAAGTTCGTATTGATGGTTTCTTTTATTAATTTCACAAGATCATTGGGGTCCATGTTTGATGTTGTTTTACTGTTCTCTGGCGATTTGATTTCTACGTGTTTACGTTTAGGTGTTTGACAACTATCCTGCATGTTTCCGTACCCTGGAAGTTATCATAAATGGCAATGCTGTTGATCACAGATGTTATTTATCGATAACTCTAACTTTTATTATCGGAAAATTGCCACCACTAAACTTGGTTAGATAGAGTCAGCTGCTAAGTTTGTTTTGATTTCTCAGTGTTAGTTTACTCGTTGGTTTTATATTTGTGAATTTTGAGTGAAAATTCTTTCTTTTAAAATATTGTGAAAATAAATTAAATTTGCTGCTCACCAAAAGCTCTGCAGACGTTTATTTGTTGTGTTTGTGACTATGTGACTGCTATGGATTGTTATGATGTCCCACGCACTGGAATCATTTGTTTATTCTTGGAGAAATTTTGCTTCAATTGGAGACTCTATCTACGCACGTCTGTCCGCTGGTAATTATGAGAGTTGAAAAAAATCCGGATTAAAATTTTATTGCTTAGATGTTGTTAAGATTTTTTTTCACAATTTTATGATTCGAGTTAATGTAGGTCACAGGTAAAAAGGGAAAAGGGGTACTAAAAAACATGGTCCTTTCAACTTGACCTTGACTATTACCCACAATTTGAGCAGAAATCTAATTACCCAGAACAGGTAGCTGTAACTGCGATTATCGAATTTGTATAAATAATTTGCAAGCGTCTTAAGAAGGCATCATTAACAATTCAACCTTAAAAGTGTTAGCAAACAAAAAAGTAAAAAATGGCAACTCAAAATAAAAGAAAATTTAATGAAATGGAAACTCAAATCACTGACGATTTAATGTTGCGGAATGGCATCATGAATCTGTCTATACATGGAGCACAGCAACCACCATGCAAGAGAAAACCACCTTCAGCCTTGTTTAGGCCCTGGGAGGATAAGGTGAAGACATCAAATACATCCTGCAAATTCCAAGAGAAGAAACAAAAAGTTCAACAAACGAATCGGAATGTCAGCAGCCAGAAAGGCTCGAATCTTCGTTTTATTTTGGAACAGCCAAAATATAATCCTCATACACAGACACCTTCAGCGAATCTCCACACTGAACACCATTTATTGCAACAATACTATATGGCACAACAGCAACAACATTATGCCCTTTGGATGGAACAATCGTATAGATCGAATCTCTATTTGAAGCATTTGCAACAATCTGCCCTGCAGAGACAACAACAACAACAGCCCTTCATATTTGGTCTACCGCGCTAAAGAATCAGAGGAGGAAAATTAATCAGATATAAATATCGAATCTTTAAAAGATTTTATTTGTTTATAATTTGAAATAGGAGATCTGTGATATAATAAAATATTAATTTATCTATAAATAAAATATAAATTTAATAAAACAATTTAATATTTTTGGAATAAATATTTGAAATTCATTTAATGAAACAAACATCGTTTCGACTTAGCTTTTATGAAATATAAATGAGGAACAAGTAAAAAAACTTTTAATACCCTCCACCATTTTGTAGGAACCTGAAAATCTATACGAAGACGTAGTCTTTCATAAGTAAATTTTTTTATAGGCTATAGTACCGTTTCCGAACTTTGAAACAATTCCGGTGAGTAATGCCGCAAAAATCATAAAAATACCGAATATCGGGAGGTACCGTTATATGGGGACTATACGAAGACGTTGATCGACACCAAATATCATAAATTTTTTAAAGAAGAATAGATTAGTACATTTTTCAAGGACCAGCTGACTACATATTTATGACTTAAAAAATCTGAGATCACCTGGGTGGATGTTTTCAAAAAAAAAAAAGAAATCCTGAACAAAAATCTTAGATATTTTATAATACATTTTTTAAAGACATCCTGACATGGCATGATGGATTTAAAAAGAAATGAGAAACTCCTGACAAATAAAAAATTGCAGATACCTCCTAAAAATTTTGAATATTTTCAAGGTCCCCGGAAATTGTGAAAAAATTGTGAACGAAATATTTTCAGGGGTCTCTCAAAAACTCTGATTTGTTAGATAATTTTAGGAAAAGGTTTCTTACTAAAAATCGTGGATTTTTTGGAAAATTTTGCAGGGACCTATAGCCCAAATAGTTTTTATAAAGAATAATTTTATGTACCCCATGAAAAATAATCTGGCATTTTTATCACTGACCTCAGGGACGGGAGCCTTACCGAAATTCGTTGATCTTTTTAAGAAAATTAGCACATTCTGACCTGAATAAAACCGAGAATTTTTAAAGGACCACTTTTTTAATAGACCTCCTGACAAAAAGTTGTGCATTTTTTAAGAGAAACATTCTCAAGGACCTCTTTTTTAAGGAAAATATGCCAGGAACATACGGATTAAAAATGATTTTTTTTTGAAAAGTTTTTCGGAGTCTTCTAATCAAAAATTTCGAGTTCTAAAGTTTATTTCAAGGCCCTTCTAACCAAACATCGTGGATTATTAGGCATGTATTCCAAAACAACCCTGTCCAAGAGTCGAGGATATTTTAAGAAAAAATTTCAGGGACCTATAGCCCAAATAGTTTTTATAAAGAATAATTTTAGGGACTCCGTGAAATATAAAATTGTAAATTTTGCACTGACCTAAGGGAAGGTCCCCTTCGAAAATTGTGAATTTTTCAAAAAAAATCTGTAATGCTTTGTATATAAAAATCGCATTTTCAAATCAAATTTTCAAGAATTTCTTCGATTGTTAATGGAAAAAATCTGATTCAGAAAATTGTACATTTTTGAGATATAAAAAATCGTGTTTTTTAATTTTCTTTCAAGAGACACGCTGTCAAAAAATCGTGGATTTTTTAGAGAAAACAATTCAGAGACCCTCTTATTAAATATCCCATCTCTTTACATAAAATCTTGGATATTTCAAGCACCCGAGCAAAAATCGTGGATATTTAAAAAAATCACCCAGACTTCCATTAATCATGGTTCCTTTTAAAGAAAATATTTTAGGGACGTCCTAACCAAACATCGGGAATTATTTGAAGAAAAATGGTCAGAGACCTTCAGAACAAAAGTCTTATGTATACTTGTCAAGGGCTCTCATGACAATGATTTGGTACATTTTTAAATTAAGCATGGACCTCTTCACCAGAAACCATTGATTTTTCAGAAAATGTTCAGGAATCTATTAATCGAAATTCGAGGTTTTTTTTTAAGTTTTAAGTATCTCTTGACCAAAAATCCAGAAATTTTTAAAAACATATCTTACAAATAATTCTGAAATTTTAAAAAAGTCTTCAAGGGCCCACATTTGTTATTCTTTTTTATAAAAAATTTCAGGGAACTCTGACCAAAAATTATCGGGTTTTTCAAAAATATTTCCAGGGTCCTTCTGACCAAACATCGTGGATTATTACGATACATGAAGTCTTCTTGAAGAACATTTTCTGAGATCTCCTGTCCAAAAAAATATTTGAAACATTTGATTATAAGATCGTGATTTTTAAGTAGATTTTCAGCCACCTATAAAGCACACATATGACACTTTCAAAGAAAATTGTCAGGGGTCTAGTGGCCAAAAATGCAAGTTATTACAAAAAATGTTTAGGTATCTCTTGACCAAAAATTGTGGGATTGTTAAGAAAAAAGTTTTAAAAAAAGTCTTCAAGGGCTAACAATTTTGGATTTTAATAAAAAAGTTTCAGGGACCTTCTTACCATTTTTTTTGGGTTTTAAAAAATATTGCCCTGAAATTGTAAAAACCCAATTTAAAAAAATTGTTCCTTTGAATGAGATTTTAAAGAAACATCTTGAAGGTCCTGCTGAAAAACGTGTTGTTTTTTTTTTTTTTTTTGAAAAAATTTGAGGGACTATTTGTCCAAAAATTCGGTCAAAAGATGGGTCAACCTCCTAAGCTAAAATCGAGGATTTTTTTGACAAACATTTTACCAAGACCTCTTAAGAAAAAAATTTTTATCAAAAACTCTGGCTCATCAATATTTGAAGAAATTGATATTTAATATTTATTTGAAAAATTTAAATTTTTTATGAAATATTTTAGGAAGCCTCTCCTGGTAAATAAAAAAATTGGGTTTTCCTGAAATTGTGATTATACTCTGCACCACAAGGTGGTCAGGTTATTATGTTTTTGTGCATTTGTTTGAAATTGGAAATAATCGGTCAAAATTTAGATATAGCTCCCATATATATCTTCATCCGATTTGCCTTTTATTGTGACCCAAACGTGTAATATCAGCCCGAATAGTATGGAATTTTGCACATGCAACCAAATTAGGCCTGAAAATAAGTATGCCAAAAATAAGTATGAAAATAAGTATGCCAAATCGGTTCAGATATAGCTATAGCTCCCATGTATATTGTTCATCGGATTTGTTATTTTTGTCCTCCGCAGCCGTAATATGCACTCCGTAACAACAATATTTGAGAAAATATATCAAATACAGATCCGAAATACATTTGATAAATTTTATCGAAATCAGTTCAGATTTGGATATAGCTCCAATATATATAAATTCGTCCGATTTACATTTTATTGTACACCAAACCTCTAATATTTGTCCAAATGGGATGACATTTGGCACTTACGACCGAATTGAGTCTAGAAGCTAGTATGTCAAATTTGGTGAATATATATTGTTCGTCCGATTTGTTATATTTGTTGCCCACAGCCGTAATATGCCCTCCGTAACAATTCAGGGAAATATATCAAATGCAGCTCAGAAATATCTTTGCCAAATTTTATCAAGATCGGTTCCGATTTGGATATAGCTCCCATATATATCTTAATCCGATTTCAAATGCACCAAATGAGAAATACGAGTCCGAATTTACAAGATACAAATGCTTCGGTATATTTAGTCCTTTGTCCAATTAGTTCAGTTATAATCATAGCGTATATAATTGAATTCCCACATAAAAACTTTTAATTGTTATGTGGAGCTCTTCTAAATTAGCAAAGTGGTGTAGGGTATCATAAAGTCGGCCCACCCGACTTTAGGACTTTCTTTACTGGTTTTTAGGAAAAAATATCAGGGACCATCTGACCAAAAATATGAATTTTTACTCCAAAATTGGACATAGGCCTCCTAAGCTAAAATTGAGGATTTTTTGAAGATCACTTTACAAAGACCTCTAAAAAATTTGCAAGTTTATCGAAAACTTTGGCTCGTCAATATTTAAAGACATTTTCAGGAGGCTCCTCAGCAAAAATCGTAATTTTTTAAGAAATATTTAAAGGAGCTCCTGACCAAGGAGCCTCTCCTGAGAAATTAAAAATAAGTAGGGCTATCCTGAAATCGTGATTTTTTAAAAGAAAAAGAACCTTGGTTCTTTTAATGATAGATTCAGGGATCTTAGCACTAAAAATCATGTCATTTTTAAAGTAAATTTTTCAAAGGCCTTCGGATTATAAATCGTTAAGTTCTTAAGGAAAATGTTTTGAAAGAAAATTTTTCTGGGCTTCCTTTCCAATGTGGGAGGAGTTTTAGCAGAAATCATAGATATTTGAAGAAAATGTTGTGGAAAGTTGTGCCCTACTTTTTTTTAAACAAATTTCCTGCAAATGTTGTGGATTTTTTTCAAAGAACATTGGTCAGGAACCTTCTAACTAAAATCGGCCAATTTACAAAAATATAAGATACGTTGTCGTAAAAAAATCATGCATTCTTTCCTCTGAAATAGTTCCACAAATCAGGATTTTTCAGGCGTTTCCTGATTAAAAATCATTGTTTTAAATAATTTACTGATATTTGGACGAAATGGCGGATATTTAAAAAAAAATAATTATAAATTCCTAACCAAAAATTGTCGATTTTTCAACAGACCTCTTTGAGGTCTTCTGGATATTTTATATAACTCGTAAGCCATTGACTTGCCTAAATAAAAATCCTTCTACGGTTCGTCTGTTAAGCCTTCCACAAGTAGATTAAAAATATAACATACTTATTATGAAAATAAAAAATATTAAAAATTATGTTTTTTTTAAATATGATTTTATTTAAATAAATAATTTATCTTAATATTCTATTATTAATTATTATCACAGATTCTCAAACTTGAACAGTAACTAAGAAAAAATCTTTATAAGATTAAAAATTTTTGGGTCTCGCCGTTTTTCCTTCCTAGCGCGGTAGGCCAAATACAAAGAGTTGTTGCTGCTGTCTCTGCAGGGCAATTTGTTGTAAATGTCTCAAATAGAGATTCGTTCTATAGGCTTGTTCCATCCAAATGGCATATTGTTGCTGCTGTTGAGCCATGTAGAATTGTTGCAAGTACTGTTGTTCCATTTGATTATTCGCTGAAGTTATCAGATTATAAGGATTATATTTTGGTTGTTCCAGGATAAAACGAAGATTTGAAGCATTTTGATTGCTGATGTTTCGAATATTTTGCTGAGCTTGTAATACTTTTGATTTCTTCTCTTGGAGTTTGCTGTTGATTTTCGATGTCTGCACATTTTCTTCCCAGGGTCTAAATAGAGCCTTGGTTTGTCTTCTTTTGCATGGAGGTTGTTGTACTTCGGTTGAGATGTTTCTTAGACCCTGTTGCAGTAGCAGATCGGCAGTGATGATATTTTCTTTATTTTCCATTTCGTTGAGTTTTCGTTTATTTTGAGGAGCCATTTTTCGCTTTGTATTTTTTACTTGTTAACGTTATGACGGTTGATTTGTTAATGATGCTCTTCTTCCGATGATTCTATATTATATATACACATTAGGTAATATTAACTATGTGCTACCTGACGAGGGTAATTAGAATTCTGCTCAAATTGTGGGTACGTGTCAAGGTCGCTCTAAAAGAACGGTGTTTTTTAACACCCTTGCTCCCTTTTACCTGTGACCTACATTAACTCGAGTCATAAAATTAAGAAAAAATCTTTACAACACTTGAGCAATAAAGTGTTAATCCGGATTTTTAGCCTTATCCTGTTATTAAATCTGCTATTACGTAGTCCTTTTTACAACGTCTGAGTTTTATTGGTATTGTAAAAATGTTATATTGAAGGAAACGGACTAGGATTAGAGATTTGTAAAATTTGTTGTTAAGAGAAATATATAAAATCCAAGGATATTTTTTTAAATTTTTAAGCAGGACAGATAACAATGTTTAGTATCGCGGAAAATTACAATAGAAAGTTCACAAAATATCTCTTCTGTGATTGTACGATTTTCTTTAGACAAAGACTTCCCCAAAGGTTTTCTACAGTACAAGGCCTTCGAACATATATGGTGAGAATGTCGGAAACAGCATCAAATTTTAGAATAAGTTTAGATTTGTTCGAATTGGTCACCTTACGCACGAAGCGAAGGCCTTCAAACGGCCAATGAAGCCGTCACACGCTGTCCGAATGTTGCCCTGCGGTATTTTGGCCCATTCTCGGCGAAGCGCTTGCCTGAGGTGATCGACACTGTGGTATTTTATAGTGCCAACCTTGCTTTCCAAAATACTCCAGACACAATACTCCAACGGATTGGTAGCGGAAGATTTTGGTGGTCATTGTGCGCTGGAAATGAAGCGAGGATCCTCATTTTGTAACCATTCTTGGTTTGCGCGTGCTAAGTGCGATGGTGCTGAGTCCTGTTGGAATGTCCAAGGTCTGCGGCCAAAATGTTTGCGTGCCCAAGGCTTTAATACACCCTCCAGAATATTTTCGCTATAATATTCGGCATTTATTCTGATGCCACGGTCGATTAATACGAGCGGAGAGCGATCATCGGCTGTTATGGCGGCCCACACCATCACCATGGCCGGCGCTTGAGTTCTGGTGGCCAACCGAAGGTGCACATTTTCAGCTGACCTCTTTGGCAAGTAAACACGATCATTTGTTTGTTTACAAACTACTGGACAACGAATGTTTTCTCATCGGCCTACACCATCACCGTGGCCATCTCTTGAGTTTTGGTGGCCAACCGAAGGTGCACATTTTCAGTAGACTTCCTTTCCAAGTAGACACGATCATTTGTTTGTTTACAAACTACTGGAAAACGAATGTTTTCTCATCGGAGAAAACAAAATTCGGCAGTTCACCACTTTTGGCCAAGCGAAGCAACTCTTTAGCTCTTTTAAGTCTGTTCTGTCTTTCTTTCTGTTGCGGTGTAAGTTCTTGCACTTTTTGGAATTTCAATGGTTTTACCCCGAGCTCATTTTACAATATTTGCCGAATGGAATATTACGATATGTTCAGCTCATGAGCCATTTTTCGGCCACTGTGACGCGGGTTTCAATAAAGTCGCTTCTTTACTTTTCGAACCATTTCAACTGTTGCTGTTTTCTTGAGTCCACTTCCTTGACGTCTACGCTACCAGTAGATTTACTCACATTTAAATGCTGGAGTGCTCTAACGATAGCCATTTGTGGTTTTCCAGCCAAATATGAAGAAATCACTCTATCACGCTTGAATTCCATTACGAATAACTCTTTTTTCTTGAAAATTCTCACCAAAATGCTTTTGTACGCTTGTAAACAATATAATGAGCTGTCACTGGAATAATTTTAGCAGCTGCCGGTCGAGTGGCTTAGAAATGAAATTGGTTGCAATTTTTTCATCTCACCCTGCATATGTATATGAGAGGGTATATTAACTTTGTCATTCCGTTTGAAACTCCTCGAAATATTCATAACGAAATCATATATTCCGATAAATCAAATATTCATATCAGATCCCTAATTAAGAGAAATATTTAGATATGACAAGTTGTATAGAATCGCCGAATTGTTTCGCAAGTTATGACAGATATAAGTATTGGAAATTGTGACCCTTTGTGGGTGAGATATCAGAAGGGGTCGGCAGGTTTCTATAATCTTCACAACAGGTGTGGCAAAACATTGCATGTATAGGTCCACGTTGTGGTATAGCCCCCATATAAAGGTACCTCCCTATATTCGGTATTTTAGTTTTTTTTGCCACATTTTTTCACGGATTTGTCTAAAAATTGGTATTTGTGGGTCATAACGGGTTCCAGCTCCGGTGGCGAAACATTGCATGTAAGGGTCCATGTTTTGGTATAGCCCCCATATAACGGTACCTCCCGATATTCGGTATTTTTATGGTTTTTGCCACATTTTTTCACTGATTTGTCTAAAAATCGGTATTTAGGTCATAATGGGTCCTAGTTCGTGTGGCGAAACATTGTAATTATAGGTCCGCGTTTTGGTGTAGGCCCCATATAACGGTACCTCCCGATATTCGGCATTTTAATGGTTTTTGCCACATTTCTTCTAATGTTTCTTTTACCCTAAGGTGGAGGGTATTAAAAGTTTGGCCCGGCCGAACTTAATGTTTTTTTACTTGTTTTATTTTATTTTATTTTTTTTTTTTGAAAATGTTGAACTTTTCTGGTGGGGAAGTACCAGAAGGAGTGAACCGATATTGCCCATCTCTGAACTCGATCTAAGTTTGACAATAATAATACGATGTACCAAGTTTGGATCAAATCGGTTAGTTCCTTCGAGAGTTATCGTGCAAATCATACAGACAGGCGGACGGACGGACATCGCTAGATCGACTCCAAATGTCCTGAAACGGATTTGGTCCAAAGAGACCTATGGTCTAAAACGATTATTTCGATGAGGCACGTTTTGGCTGTATCAAATGATATATACCCTCTGTAGATATCAGAGATGGGCATAATGCACTGTATTTTTAGTGCACTAATAATTTCACTATCACTATTCATTTAGTGGTAGTGCAATTTTTAATTCCACTACCACTAAAGGGTTAGTGGTAGTGAAAAATAAATTGCACTACCACTAACGCTTTAGTGATATTTAAAAAAGAATTGCACTACCACTAAATTTTAGTGGTAGTGAAATTTCAATAGCACTACCACTAAATTTAGTGGTATTTGAAAAAACTTGCACTAAATTAGTGGTATTTCATAAAAAATAGCACTAAATTAGTGCTATTTAGAAAAGTAATCAAATTTTATGAATATGTACAATATATTCTGGATTGTTGTTCCCTACTCACTTCAATAAACTTCATTATAGCTGGTATAATATTTATATACATAGTGCTTTTTTTGGCTTCGCCAAATTTTAGTGGTAGTGCAAATTTTTTTTGAAAAATCACTAAATTTAGTGGTAGTGCTATTAAAATTTCACTACCACTAAAATTTAGTGGTAGTGCAATTTTTTTTTAAATATCACTAAAGGGTTAGTGGTAGTGCAATTTATTTTTCACTACCACTAACCCTTTAGTGGTAGTGGAGTTAAAAATTGCACTACCACTAATTATTTGATTCTTAGTGCACTAAAAATTTAGTGCAATATGCCCAACCCTGGTAGATATATGGCTGAGGGTATAAAAAATATCACATATCTCATATAAAGTGAAGGAAGTCAAAACCTGGCACGTCGTAAGCTTCAAACTACTTCAAACGCGACCGCTACCGAAATACCTGGTAAATCAAAATAATATCCCTCCAGAACAACTTTTCAAGGAATAAGGTTTCCCAAAGACGATCAAAGTAATATTTCTTAAGGCACAAAATTAAGTCCAACTGGTTATTGGTTTGGAATATTAAATTTGGTATCTGTACTTCATAAGATTTCCAATCTAATTCCTCCCTTTTGTTTTATTTCAAACATCCTGCAAAACTGTAACAGAAATTTGAATAACAATAAATTTTCGAAATACGATATTAAAAAACAAATCCTGGGGCGGACCATCAAATCCCTTGTAACACAATAGCTAAAAATTAAAAAAAGGAGAAAAACACCTTCCATCCATCCCTCCATCCATTACCAGAAAGACGTCACGCGGACAGACACCGTTCAACGACCAGTAGCCAAATAAAAGAATTAAAGATCCTTCATGGTTGATTAAAAAAACAATTGCTCGACAAACGAGTCATGGACATGAAATGACACACTCACGAACACACCCCTCCCAAGACGGACCGACAAACAGGGACACAAAGATTAAGCGCAAAATGGGGTGGTTCCATTAACGATGACATCTTTTCGGTAATTAGCCACACACACATAATTCACGAAAAAAGAAGGGACGAGGCCGTCCTCGGGGACAGACACATAGATAACCACATGGAAGGGTGGACGGACAAAATAGTAGATCGTAAAACGATCACAAAACAGGGAATAGAAAACAAAAGGGAAGGAGGTGGATTTACTTCGTTTGATGTGCTGCACGTTAAGGGCATTAGCGTTTATGGCCCGTCCGACATGTCCTTGCATTTCATAAAGAGATTTTCATCAGCTTAACGATTTGACATGGTACCGACAAACAACAACGAGGACTGGATTTTACGGTCAAAGTGTCAAGGTCTTGTTTTTGTTCTTAGTCTTTGTTTATCTCCTCAGCTCAGCTCTGCTCAGCTCATTTTCATTTTATTGATTGTAACTCAAAGAGAACAGAGGAAAAAGGTGCAAATTGTCTGTTTTGGAGTGATCCGACAACAAAGACCCTTAGATATTGTCTTGGTTTTTGTTTATGACCCTCTAGATTACGTACAATCTGGTATGGTATCTGAGGAAAATCGAAGGTGAAATCCTTGCTTTTTGTGGTTTTTCTTTGGAAAACCATTTCAATGTCGTTAAAAGTGTTTGTTTTTCTTTTTAATCTCCCTAA